GGGCGGCTTCCCCGCCGCGAACGAGCAACTAGATCACCTTCACGAGTACCGAAATGTGTAGCACGGTGAGCTTCGATGAGTAGTGCAATTAGGTGTGGTTCGTGCTCGATCTTGTCAATCGCCGCCGGCTGAGAGAGAACAAAGGTCACCATCGGTAGCATGGCGATGGGAAAGTCATGGTGTTGCTGGACATAGTCTTCGTCATCGTGTAGATGTAAGGCAGGAAGGACCTGATGTCGAACCGTAGAGTAGAAGGCAGAAACCAAATCGAGGAACACAATGATGCCGTCCGCACGAAGTCGAGGGAGCCCTGCTATATATGAATGCACCAAGTGAATAAGTTGAGTCGGACCATGCCGTACTTGACCACCACATTGAGTATCATGAAGGAGGTGATGAAGGTAAGTCGCCAGCTGCCTCCTGATGAACTTATGCCAAAGTTTGGAAATAATCGGGTTGAGCAGGATCGACCGAAAGAAGGAAAGATCGTGGTCAGGACCAACACCTTTATGGAGCGGGTGTACGATGCCGTGCTTCCACGCGTAGGGCTCCTGCTGGTGGAGGGCGCACTTTACCAGGATCGGATGGTAGATGCGTGCGAGTGTCCTAGGTGCAGCAAGGAGAAGCTCAGGAAGTATACCATCCCGACCTGGTGCTTTCCGACGATTGAGAGTAGTAAAGAGCTCTGATACCTGACCAATACTCGGGACAAGATCTGGCTTCAGCTCGACCTGGGTAGGGTTGTGGTTGAGCTTGGAATTGTAGTAAGTGATGAGCTCCGTGTTCGTCATGAGCTCGGCATCTTCTGTGGTGGCGAAGTGCTCGATGATGATACGGCTTTCGTCCTCGTCCGTCATGGCAGGTCGACCTTCGGAGTCCACCAGCATAAGGTTGCGCTCCTTGCGTCCCTTGCGCCCACCGTAACGTAGAATGGTCTTCAGCGTGCGCCATTCGGACAGGTGGTCTCCCGCTTCAGCATGCTGACGCATCTGAAGTCCAAGCCGTTCCAAGAAAGCACGACGATCTTCTCTAACACACTCGCGAACTATACGCTTGGTGTTGCTGAGGAAGAGAGAGAGCTCATCTACGAAGTCGGTCGTGGCGAGATCATGGCAAGACATAGCCTCCACGGCCAGACGTAGGCGTTGGAGCTGGGGTTCCCAGGGGACATCCGTCAATAGCAAGATACCATCGGCCCTATGTGCCAGAAGATCAGTCCAAGGAGGTCGCCGTTCGTTGTGACATGGAAGCCATCGCCTCGCACGAGCAACATACCTGCGAAGCCGAACAAGGTACATCGTAGTGGCCGAGACGTACCCCTTGATAGAAGTGACGCGGTCCATGCCAAAGCACGCTCTGGCTGCATTCAGGACAACGGAGTCAGCTAGTTGCTGATGCAAGTTCACGTCCATGCACCAGGAAGGGATCTCAAGAGCGTCTAAGATCCCAACGTACTTCGCTATCAACTGGGGGTCTTGCATCTTGCCGCGGTCGAGCTTGGCACCAGGGCTATTGGGCTTGGGTTTCATCACCTCCCATGCCAGGTCAAGCACCACGGGATAATGGTCGTCGGCGGCAGCGTAGGAGTCGAAAGCATAATCGACAAGGAATCGCGAAGTATGTCCGTGATGATCTCGTGATAGCATAATGTAGTCCAGTCGACGAGGTCCATCCTTACCGACAAAGGTGTGGCCTGCTTCGTGCGGGTTGAAAGTGTTCTCGATATACAGTCCCGTGTCGGTGGCGAACTGCAGGCATGCGCGGGCAGCCTCATCTGCGGCCGTGGGCGCACAGGCAGGGTGCTCATGGCCAACTACGGTGTCCTCCAAAGTCTCGGAGTAGACGGTGTGGTTGGGGATGTTCGCATTGCAGTCCCCGAGCAAAATGGTCGGAGGCCACTTCTCAGCAAGACCGCTAAGGTCTCGCCACCAGCTAGCAGGTTGAATTTCCCTATGGCCTTTGTAGGGGGCATGTACAACGTAAACCATCTCGTAGATGCAGCAAGTCTCGATCTTTACGACAAGGATGCGAGAACATCGGTGAAGCACACGGATGTCCCCACGTCTGAAGTACTTTGGTCCTCTGGGTCCTGTAGCGTAGGCCTTGGTCATGTTGATGAGAAGGCTGACTCCCAGCTGGTGCTCAGGCTGCCCTCCGCCTACAATAAGAAATCCATCTCTGAGGACTCCATCTTCGACGATCGGTGTCTCCTGACACCCAATTAGATGCGCCCCCATGTCCTGCAGCTGCAGGCGGAGAGCACGTGGACGGAAGGTTCGCGTCTGGCTTGTAGAATGTCGCGGCACAGGTGCCTCCATTGCGATGTTAGCCTTCTGAAGATTGACCGAGATCAGCGACAACGAAATAGAGTACTTGGCGGTCATACGGGGCTGCGCCGCCAGAGGAGCCGGGTGCAGGCACTTTTGAAGTCGCCATTCAAAATGTAAGCCATGTTGATCAACAAGAGGGTAGGCATGGGCGTCTCGATGGAGGTGGTCGCGGTAGCTGGCCCAGTACCATGCAGAAGAATTCGTAAGCTTCACGATGAGATTCTCAGGAAGCGAGGGCCCACGCTGGTGTCGCATGCTCTTGGCGATAACGTCGCAGCACTCGTTCCATGGGTCTCCTTCGTGACCGTGTGTATGAGCAATAGTGATGTAGCGGTGGGTCTTGAGGAAATCGTAGAGGTGGCAGGCGATCGACACAAAGGGGTCCGATGACCCCCACCTCCGTATGACAGCGTCGATGGCAGGAAGGCAATCGCAGATGACCTCCAACTGGATGCCCTCGTCCACCTGCAAGCAGAACAGTAACGCCCATACCAATCCTGCCATCTCGGTGGAGACGCTGGTGATGTAGTCGACACATTCAAAGTTGAACGCGTTCTCGACTAGGCTGGCGAAGAAACCCTCGAAGGAAGTCGTCTCGCCGTCGTCAGCCAAAACCACGCAGGCAAAGGCTGAAAGATGCCGATCGTCAGGCCAGTAGCTGCCGTCAGTGTAGATCACCATCCGCTTGGGGCGTCCACGCAGAGGTGCAACAAGACGCAGGGCTGCTTGAGTGTGCTCGTGAAGAGAGACTGCAGCAAGATCTCGGCGAAGCCGTATGTACCATGGGTTGTACTGGTACTCTAGGCTAAGCGGAACAGGTACTTCAAGTGGACAGTGTAGGAAGCCCTGATGTACACTCGTCCAAGTAGGGGCGTCGTCTCGAAGAGAGTCGACTTCACTTAGTGCTTGGCCGCCAGCGGGGTCCTGTCGTCGACCACGCTGCACTGGGCAAGAGGCAGAGGGGCTACTCAGTATGTTCACCACCATGCCCACGGGAGAAGCTAATGGTACAGGAGCCGCACGTTCCAGGGAAGGACTGTGCGCGTCACATTGCAGCCGCAGGGGCCGAAGAGCCTGAGGGACGCTGTCGACTTTGTCAGAGTCCTTGTTGGCTGGGATGCCCTCGGGGTAGAAGAGCGAGTCACTACCACTAGGGATGGAGAACGCAGAATCACGCACACGAACTGTTCGAAATTCGATGACTTCAAAAGGGTCCATCATCTCTGGGACAACAGTCAACGTGTCGGAATCGCTGATCGCCACGGGCTCCTCCACACTGTGTAAGAAGGGTACATAGAGAGGCACGCTGCTAGTCGCGGAGGGACCAGGTAGCGCGAATGTAGGGGAACAAGGAGACATCGAGCATGACTGATGTCCGTGTTCAAGTAGTTGGGCGGAGACCAGCGTGTCATCTTTATCCGCCGCACCGTGGTAAAGCTCCTGGTCGGGCTCGGGCGAGCTGGAATCGAGGAGCACTGTGGCTTGTGCACGATTTCCCAAGGTTCGCGTAGGCAAAAGAGGATCCACCTCATCTCCACCATCTCCTCCTCCCCGAAGCCGTAGCACCTCAAGATAACCGTCACGGCAAGGTGAAACTTCAGATCCTTCGCAGTCGGGATGCGCCTGTGGATCATGATATGCTCTTATGTGGCTGCAATAGTTCTTGTCCAGGGATGTAGCCAGCATGAACCTGGACGGCGCCTCGGCGCTTTGATCAGTCGTGTCGGGCCCCTCCGTCAGGAGGGGCCCATTCCCCTAAAGCAGTGGGGAGTGAGCCACGCGCTGCGGTACGCCTGGTGCGTGCACTGGAGAAAGGAACCATGCTCGGCGGTGCACGCTGGTATTTCCTCGCAGGGCCAGGAGGCTCGGTGTCGCCGCCTGTGTCTGAGCTAAGCCCTGTTCCTGGAAAGCCTGGAGGATCAACGTCATCTGGTACTGCCTGGTGTTCGTCGGCGAGGTCCGACTCAGAGTCCTCAATCACCATTGTACTGGGGTTCTCGGATCTGGTGGCGGCAGGGGCAAGAGTATGATCAGCATGATGTTCACCCGTATCACCTGGAACTGCACCATGGTCATGGGCATCTTCAGCATCAGCTTCCAGCAGATGCGATCCAGGATGCCTATCATGATGGATGATCTGTAGCATGCGCCTTTGAGCTTTCTCCAGCTCCTCGACAGAGTCACTCGCTAGTTCTCCACCAAGCTCACGACGTATGCGATCATGACTATCAACTTCAGGCGTTGCGGTACCCTCGACCTCCGTCTGCACATTTTCGAGCAAGGTGAGCTCCTCCACTACGTCGGCCTCGAGCAGGGCTTGTTGGCTAGGGGGCAGGACGAGCTGACTGGGTAGCGGTTCACGCAAACGCTCATCTTCTTCGGCATCGTCATGCGTGGGGACCAACACCGTCTTGTCACCAGTCAATTCAGCGAGGCTTGGATTAGGAGGGGAGCTCAGAACGAAATCGTGGAGGGGTATGATACCCTTCTCCTGCCTGCCGATCATGCCAACGATATTGCTGAGGTTGGATGTTGCTCCAAGGGATGCCAGAGAGCTCGTGAGGGTAGGCGCCCAAGTAGCTGTCGACGAGGCTGGGGTCGAAGGCGAGGAAGCAGGTGCCGCAGTCCTTGGCTGCGGTACCGTATAGGTCGAAGTCCGTTGGGCGTGGCCGTCGTCTTCATGTACGGTGCCCTCGTCGGGCGGGGCAGCGAGCATGGTAGAAGATGTAGGGCCATTTGCATTGTTTTCCTCAGGGAAGTCAGAGCTCTTCAGGTCGGCCATGTATGCAGCTCCATCCAGATCATGATATGGGTCCTCAACAGTGTCATCTGCTCCAAGATCCCCAAATTGTTGGAGTTCGGCAAGCTCCGAGTGAATACGAGCATCGAGAGCTTCTGCCATCATGGAAGCCTGACGAGCTGCCTCGGCTCTTTCCTCACGGACATCATGAAGCCCCTTGCGGAGAGCAGCGCGTTCAGAAGCTTGGATGCGTTCACTAGCTTGTAGGTGTTCACGAAGCTGCTGCACTTCAAGTTGCTGACGTCGTAGGAGCTCGGTGTCCTGGTCACGGGCCTCAGCAAACTGCATCCGCATCATCTCGTAGGCTTGTTCCTGCTGGTACCGATGTTGGTGCTCCATAATGATCTTGAGCTGCTGCATCTCTGCATCCTGTGCCTTGAGCGTCTCCCAGTACTCCCTCTGGTTGCGCCTGGTGGACTCGGCCTGCTCCATCATGACATGCGTCTCGGAGACCTCCTGCTGGTAGGTGAAGGTCTTGTCGTGCTCTCTGCGCTGCGCCTCGTAGGCTAGCTTCTCGGCCAATTGTAGCTGGTGACGTTGCTGGTGCTCGAACTGCTTGTAGGACTCCTCCCTGATCTTATGTTGACGAAGTTCGGCCTGTTGAAATGTGTACTCCTCCACCAACTGGTTACGTTCGGCAATGGTCCGTTCCAGTTCAGCCTGTTGTGCACTGTTGGCTTCATGAGGTCGTAGGTCAGCAACTGCCGAGCTCGCAGGTTGAGCTTGGCCGGCGGGTGGAGCTAAATGGGCGTGGCGATCATCGCGTTCGCGAACTTCCTTCTTGATCTGCTGAATGGCACGGCCCTGCATCGTCATCTGCTCCTCAAGCCATTTTCTCATCATGGTGATCTCACTGGTCTCCGTGATGACCTGGGGCGAACGCGCTGGAGGTGAGGCAACTGGTGTCCTCAAGATCTTCGAGGGTGTCTTCGGCTGCGCAGGCGAGGGCGGAGCTGCAGTAGCAGGCATTCCCATGTTCGTGCGGCTGGAACTCGCGGCCGTGGAAAGTTGGGTCGCCTGAAAGTCCTCGGTGGTAGGAGCATGGGCAACAGGAGGAGGTGAACGCGGCTGGACAGGGGCAGAAGTAGTGATGCCACGTATGTGCCTGCCATCGACCACTGGGGCATTTGGAGACGAGGATGTCGGCGGTCGGTGGTCACGCTGAAGACCAGGCTGAAGAGGAAGACCAAGTCCTCTGGCCGAGTGCTGAGTAGGCTGTTGTAGTGGCTGAACATCATCACGAGGGGGATGCGGGGCTCGAACAGCTGGGGGGTCGCGCGCAATAGAGATCGAAAGAGCCTTCCTTCGATCATGACCGTACTCGTCGGAGCTGGGAGATTCGGGCGGCAGGTTGCGCGCCTCTGTGAGGAGGTCGGTCCAGTACCTCACGTTCGCCTCCTGCAACAGGATCTCTATCTCAAGGTCCCGCTGTTGGCGTCGTACTGCCTCCATCTTCCCGTTGGCCTTGCTGATCCCGTCGAGCGCTTCCTTCTCACGGACCGACTGCGGCTTCGCAGACCAGGCCATGAACTTGAGAACGGCCAGCTCCTTCTCCTGGTGCGACGCGCCTAGCTGGGATACTCGTGCTCGTGCAATAAACTCTGCAAGCACCTTCATCTTGGAAGCCACGTCCTCGCGGTAGCGCGCGAGTCCTTCCCGAGCTGAGGGGGGGCCTCGGTAGTAGGGCGATGCCAAAGCATAAGCCGTCGTGCACATGGTGGCCGAAGCGATGATCTCCTTGGCCTCCGCACGAAAGTCAGGGACCGCGTCCTCTGCACGACGTCGCCCTTGATCACGATGCCCTCCCTGATCACGAGCATGCCCTCCCTGATCACGACCTCCCTGGTCACGACCTCCCTGATCACGAGCATGCCCTCGTTGCTCACGAGCATGCCCTCCCTGGTCACGCCCTCCCTGATCACGAGCATGCCCTCCCTGGTCACGAACGTGCCCCCCTCCTCGAGACCCAGCACCACGTTGAGCCATCGCGAGCAGCTCTGAGATGGCTTCTAAAGGTGGTGAGCCCGCACTGTGATGGAGGTCCAGAATGCTGCGCGCCTTGAGGACGCGGAGAAGGGTCCTCGCCGCCCCTCGCTGGCGCCTCAAGCGCCGGTGCCAAGCTGGGGACCGAACCCGCTTGGCCGTGCTCGCCCCTGGTGGCACGCCGCCAGGACGACGAGCAGCTGTCCAGGGTCAGCCGCCCAGCGGCCGCGGGCGATGGCCCCGCTCGCCCGAGCCCGCGCGCGCGATGCCCCCTCTGGGCGGGCGCGGCTCGGGCCCAGGCTCTCGTTGTCGTCCTCCTCCTCCTCCGCCTCCTCCTTCCCATCCTCCTCGTCCTCCTCCTCCTCCTCCTTGTTGTCGTCATCATTATCCTCCTCTTCTTCTTCCTCCTCCTCCTCGTTGTCGTCCTCCTCCTCCTCCTCCTCCTCGTCCTCCTCCTCTTCCGCCTTCTCCTCATCCTCCTCCTCCTCCTCCTCCTCATCCTCCTCCTCCTCCTCGTCCTCCTCCTCCTCCTCTTCCTCCTCCTCCTCCTCGTCCTCCTTCTTTTCCTCCTCCTCCTCCTCATCATCATCCTCCTCCTCCTCCTCCTCTTCCTCGTTGTCGTCCTCCTCCTCCAAGAGGGGACAGGTGGTCCAGACCCCCCCCTTTCTCTCTGGGGTCCCCTGATGGTGTGGTGACCACACCGCGTAGTGAGTCATGTGGTGGTGCGGGGTTTTCGGGTGTCTCTATCGGCTCTCCAGGGTTCTCCTGCCTCGGGATGCGTTCCAGCGGCGGCTTCTCGCCGACAGCCGTCTGGGGCTGCCCGGATCGTTGCACACGGCCGATTGAGACCCGAGCTCTGGCCCAGAAACGAAACATCTGGAGGCACCACGCAGTTTTGGGATTCGGGTCGTTCTCCGAGGACGTCTCGGGCTGCGGGTGCCTCCGGGGTCCCAAAGCCGCGCGGTGACGGACCGCGCGGTGGGATCTCTTGGGATTCCGAGGTCAACACGCGGTTCGTCACCATACGGCTTTGGGGCCCCCAATTCTCGGGCGACGGCAACGGGGGGGCAACACACGCATGCAAGCGGCCCGCGCTGGGGCCGGGGCCGCGCGGGACCATTCGCGCATTCAAGTGGCCCGCGTTGGGGCCCGGGCCACGTTGGGCAAATTGCAAATTCAAATGGCCCGCGTTGGGGCCTGGACCACGCGCGGCCACGCGCGAATCCAGGTGGCCCGCGTTGGGGCCTGGGCCACGCGCGGCCAGATGCGAGTTCAACTGGCCCAGGGCGCGCAGGGCCGCGCGCGAATTCGAATGGCCCGCGCCGGTGCCCCAAAGCCCAGGCCGCGCAGGGCCATTTGTGAATTCGAATGGCCCGCGGTGGGGCCCAGGCCCCGCGATGTGCCGCGTCATCGCGCCGGCATGCGTGCCGGCACGTTCAGCGCCGAGCTCTTCGCCATCCTCTCCAGCTCCCACTGTTCACCTTTGCCCCCCTCCCCTTCCTCGCCCTCCCCGCCCCCCCCCCGCCCAGGGCTGCGGGAAAGGGGCCCCGGATGGCCCCGGATGTACCACTGCGTGTCCAGAAGGTGCACGACAGGCGCAGGTACCTTCACCCCACTTTTGTTGTCCCCCCGTTAGTGAACGACCGACCTTCGAGGGTCGATCGTCGAGGATCGGGGTTTTTGGAGACTGTGATCCCCTTCGTAAGACGAAGGGTCTGGCGATAAATTCGGTTATCGGGCCCGCCCACCCACCACACCCACTGCCAGGTAATCTGGCGTTGTCGTTTGCGCAGTTCCACCAGAGATGCGCAGCAGGGGTGCGCGCGGACATACACGGGGGTTGCCCAAAGCGAAGAGGATAGGTTATCGGCCAGCACCTTCCCCCTCCCCCTCCCCCCAAGTAACCTGGGCGATCGCCGACACATAAAACATGTTAGCCAGCGTGGACCTCAAACGGTGTGTTTTAGCAATATGTGTTGTTCAATATATGTGGTGCAACCTATGTTGTGCAACATATGTGTAGATGTGTATACATATATAGGAAAGAGCGTGTTCTACCGCTGCTAGCGGAAAACCGGGGGGGGTCATTGCCGGTTCGAACCCCTTTCCCCCCCCCCCCCTCCGGAAAACCCGAGGGGGTCACTACCGGTTCGAACCCCTCCCCCCCTCCC